TATCCAAAACAACAAAACAAGCCACGTACCTTCAACGTTGAAACCACTACAATTCTTTCTATCAGCCAACTTACATCCACTACAGCCCCTCAATTTACAATCGACCAACACCGTCAACTACTGCAACTGCTACAAGCAGGTAGTTCAAGTCACTTGGCCAATCTCGTAGGTAATCTCTGTGGCTCTATCTTTTCTTCATTCAATGATATATGAATCATAGACAGTGGTGCCACCGATCACATTGTTTATTCTCTGTATTTTCTTTCATCTATAGAGCCTTCATCACCTACTAATCCTGTGAAACTGCCAAATGATAATTTTGTACCGATTTTTCAAATTGGCACTATCACTCTTTTGGAACAAATAACTTTGCACAATGTTTTATATGTACCATTCTTCTGCTACAATTTTGTTGATCGCTATTGTCATATCTTGTTTGTAGCAAGAGATCTCTTTTTGCTTGAATTTCCCTGTTATGAGTCAGTATAAAATCTGTGCTATCATCGCAAGCCAATTGCTTTACAACCTTAACCAAAGTGGTTTGCACGACTTGCATATTGACCTCGACTTCGATCCCGGCCCAGACCTTTTACGGTGGTAACAGGAGTAATGGAGGTGATAAAGGTCATCGTGCAACCGCCCTCTCCAGATTTTCCACTTATTAGCTGAGAACCTGACAAGGGCAGTTGGTAAGGTTACCTGCACACCAGCCTTGTTGGTACAGCTATGCAAATCAGGCAACTTAGTTTAATGCGCTATTTATTGCCGGCGCTTTTGTCTGTTGCCGATGTTGAGAGTTCAAGCTAGCCGTCGCTAGCTTTTGTTAAGAGGCAGCTACTTCTTGCTTTTGTGCTTGCAGCACGTACCTTATGTTTAAAAGTTTATCTCTAATCTACAATGCTCAATAACCTTTTTCTCTGACCATTGTATTTTTCAAGACCTGTTATCGAGGAGGACGATTGGAGTAGGTAGAGAGCACAATGGCTTTTATATCTTTCATCCACCCAAAGTTGTCTTTTGTATCATCAGTTTACAGTTCAAACCCCATGGATCTCAGGGCATTGGTGCCTAAGTCACCCTTCTCATGCTCGTTTATATTCTCTTATTAAAACATACTCAGACATTTTTGTCAATTGTCATGCATGCCCTAGGGCAAAACAGTCGCAATTTTTTTTTCCTAATAGTTTGACTTTTGCTACTACTCCTTTTGAACTAACTCATTGTGATATATGGGATGGTTATGTAATTCCATCTCGTTCAAGAGCACATTATTTTTTTACTTTGGTTGATGATTTTAGTCGTAGCACTTGGATTTTTTTAATGCGACACAAATCTGAAACGAACCATTATTTAAAATCTTTTTTTGCCTTGGTGAAAACACAATTCCATTGCTCAATTAAGTCCATTTTGTTCCTCATTCTTTTTCTTTGACCTCTTGAGCAATCGATTCGAAGTCGTCTTGAGATAGTGCCCTAGGGTTCTAACTCTCGCATTGCTACTCTAACCATCAGCTTGTATAGTGAAGTGGGTCATAAGAGATACGGATGCTCTTACACTCAGTCATTGGGGTTGGGGTCATCCTGAGTCAGCTTTCTTTAGAGTTCTGACTCTTTCACTACTCTAACCAACGAATCACACAATGTTTGGGTTGTGAGAGGCGTTCATCTTTCGCTTTCTCTTTCTCTCTCACCTTCTTCTAACCCTTGGTCACTTTCAGGAGGCTCTTTGGTTTAGTGACATAATTATAAAGTCAATCTTGTAACTCCACTTTCCAAACCCTTCGAGTACCAAGGCTTTAAGCCCAGTGCTTTGCTTCGTCTCCGGTAATACCTTTTAGGAGAGGTTATGACAGGAGGCTTTTTTATTTTCTTTGGGTCATCTCTCCACTTCTTTTTAGTTTATCTTCTTCATCTTCTTCTTCTCCTTATTTGTAAACTAAATTCTTATCAGGTTTTTATTCTTATTCTCTTCTTTTTCTTCTCTAGTGCTTATTTCTCTTGTCTCTCTACCCCCAAAACTAGAGCCCTTAACCCATAAAATACATCAAAGAGGAATACATTCGATTTGGATTTCATTTGAGTTTATAGAGGGGGCCGAATTCAAACCATGCTGCAAGACAGCTGGAGGGCTTTTGTTCATTGATCTAAGAAGGCAGCTGAGCTTATCCCACGAACTCAAATCGTGATAAGGCAGGTGCTTGAATCCATCTCTTCATCGTGTTAAAATCATCTCATAGTTGGACATACCTATCCGCACGTGACACACGAGCAACACACGCTCTTGAGGTTGGGCGGTTGTTTGAGAGGGGGTCAATCAAACCTAGGTCCCCGAGGGAGCCCGAGAGAGGTAGATTTTGGCCTGACCACTGGCCAAGGAATTTTGGTCTCTGCTAATATTAGTTTACAACTCTTTGCCTATTGTGACTCTGATTGGGCTAGTTGCCCAATGACCCGATGCTTGACTACTGGCTACTGCACTATGTTAGAAGACAACCCCATATCTTGGAAAGCTAAGAAACGACAGACCGTTTCACGATCATCTGCAGAAGCAGAATATCATTCAATGGCAGTTGCATCATGTGAACTTATGTGGCTAAAATACCTCTTGTCTGATCTTGGCATTTCTCATAATGGCCCCATGATGCTTTATTGTGACAACATATCAGACATACACATTGCTGTCAATCCAGTTTTTCATGAGCGCATAAAACATATTGAACTTGACTGTCATCTAGTTCGTGAAAAATTCAATAAAGTCTCATCCGTACTGCTCACGTCCCAACTAGATCTCAACGAGCCGATATATTCACAAAAGCTCTTGGAAAAGAGCATTTCTCCTAGGTAAGTTGGACATACTCAATGTTTACACTCCAACTTGAGGGGGAGTGTTGGGAGTTATCAAAACTTTCTAATTGAAATTCAAATATTGAATTTCAAATGTTGAATTTCTGTACACTTTCTAATTTTGCAGGATTTTGTATTGATGTATATTTTCGAATTTCTTAGTATTTTATATTGGTATATTCTTTCTATTTTTTTTAAATAGATCCCTACAATCAAGGGAGAGCAACGTCTTGTATTCTCTACATAGACCCATGGTTGGGTATTACGATCTATTGAAATATTATTCCATTCAAATTACTCCAAAACTTGACAATTATCTAAGTCGGCTAGAGGTTTGTCATATCCAAAATCTCAAAACATTTGAATTTGAGGGAAACACATATTAAACATGCAATGTAAAAGAAATCAAAGGAAATCCATAGAACATAGCCTACTTGTTCTCGCTGGGTCCACAAACACAACATCCAAAATTGGGTCATGGATCAAAAACAGGGTCGCGTATTGGCCTTCTCCTTAATGCTTTCAAGATTGGTTTGAGCTAAAGTTGTTTAAAATTCTTTTCAATGATAATGGCCCAACTTAAAAAAAGTAGATTTTGAAGAAATTTTAGTTTTTTTTTTTTAATTTGACACCGATCTGACCGATATCCCGACCTGAATCGCAGTTCTGCGATCTGACAAAAGAAGGGTCATGTGAAGTTGGGCACCACAAAAATAGGATCTAATAATGTTCATCTGATTATTCGAAGGCTACGTTATCAAAGTCTCTGGAAAAAGTGAACGAATGCTCTTTATTCTCATTTTCCTTTTTTCTTTAATTTTTTTTAGATTCATATAATTCCGAAAACGAAAATGATCACTTCTCAGCACCTAAACGAATCAGTACTCAAAAGTCAAGATAATATTTCCCAAACCAATCAACACATACTCAAAAGTCAAAATAAGATTTTGAAACTTTGTCCCCTACCCACCTACCTTTCTCTCTCTCATTTCATCCTGCAAATTTTTTTCACTGCTCTCTCCAACTCCCCCAATAACAGACTCAACTACTGTCTACTAAAAGTCTTGTATTGTAATTTAGAGGATGAAGTTTGGCCTAGGTTTTATGAAAGCAAAATAAAACCTCACCTCAAATTTTTGTCCGGAAATCAGTTTAAACAACGAAAATCTCCGTAATTGCTCTAAAATCAATTTTCAATACCGACAGTAAAATGTAAAAATAAAAAAATGGTGCAGCTCTTGCGGATCTATAAAAACTTATTTTTAGTGTCATTACACTATGTAAGTCCATAAACACTCACAAAATGTCATGGAGATTTTGACACTCACAAAGTGTCAAAAATCAAATGGCGAAAAAGTAATCTTTTCACACCCACAAAATCAAGATCTTTTGCTTCACTTGAAAAACCAATTTCATGAATCCAAGAGTATACCTCGGAATGCATAGTTCCCTTGCCAAGCTTCAAGGTTAGTATGACTCACAAATGCCTTACTCACCAAGCACTAATAATCAGTGATTTAAGAACGGTTTCCACTCCATCTGCGAAAACTCAAAGTAGGAATGGCGATTCAGATCCTGAATGCCGGATTTGGGACATTTAGAGAACAAATAAAAATAGAAAATTGGAAGAGTCTCGGCCATTCGAGGCATCCTCGAATTGGAGTAAACGTCATGCCAATCCCCATCGGACTCAAGGTGATCCCCATCTGACCCTGGCGATTCTGAATCTGGTCTGCTGTTTTCTAGAAACTTGATAATAACTTTGAAAACAAATCAGCACAACACCTCACTCGCTATCATTTGAAATAGTGTTTCAGAACGCAGATAATGGGTATCATTCACCCAAATATCCAGATCAGATAGCTGGATTGGCAATTCAAATTGGGTATGGATCAATCCGAATCGGTAATCTTGGAAAATATCATAAATAAATAAAATAATAAAAATTAAATTAGGGTTTATGGGATAAAGATTTAGAGGGTGCCTGAAAAAAATATTACATTTATATAAATAAAGGGGTGTTTTAAGGGGAACCCCGTTGAGATCGATACAATACTGGAACCACTTCAGTCCCAACGGGATCCAATCTGTGATCCGGATCAGAAATTGCCGGGTTCTAAATCACTGGTTTGAAATATTAAAGAGAGTTGTGGACCAGTTCCCCGATTATATATGGCTGCATACTCCAATATCAATATCAATTTGAGCAATGCAAAGCATAGCTGGCCTTTGGCCATGGATCCAAGCATGCTTGGCCATTCTTACATTGATCACAATCCTGATGCTCTTATTGAGGAGCAACAAAAAGAGTGTGAAGCTAAACTTGCCTCCAGGCCCCAGAAGGCTTCCAATAATCGGGAACTTACATCAGTTAGGCGTTTCTCCGCATCTCTCCTTAGCTCGTCTATCACAAAAACATGGCCCACTCAGGTTGTTACAGTTGGGCCATGTCCCCAACCTGGTGGTTTCCTCTGCTGAAATGGCTAAGGAGGTGATGAAAACCCAAGACTTGGCCTTTGCTAGTAGGCCTATGCTTGTTGCTCTGAAACAACTCGCCTATAATTGCAGTGATTTGGCCTTCGCACCCTATGGCGAATACTGGAAACAAGCACGGAAGATATGTGTACTCCAATTGCTCAGCTTAAAGAAAGTGCAGGCATTCCATTCGATAAGAGAAGAGGAGGTGGCTTGTATGGTTAGAACCATCTCCAGCTCTTGTGGTGATGGTGGTGGCGGCGCATTGAATCTCACTAAGATGCTTCATACTTATACAAACAACATTGTAAGCAGGGTTGCACTGGGCAAGAAGTACTACTCTAATGGAGAGCACGGTAAGTACAATTTTAAGGATATATTGGACGATATGGCCATATTAGGAAGCTTCTGTGTGGGAGACTTCTTTCCCCGAATGGAGTGGGTGGACATTCTCACAGGGTTTCAAACCAGGCTCAAGAACAGCTCTCGCGACTTGGATGATTTCTCGCCGAATTGATCTGAGAGCACCAATGCAAGAGGCACCCGATTCTACGACCGAGCAAAAAGACCTTGTCGACATTTTGTTGCAGCTCCAGAAGGATCATAGCCTTGATATTCCTCTCACAACTGATAACATTAAAGCCATTATCAGGGTTTGCTTCTTTTTAAAACCTCTTTGGTTATTGAAATTTGAAAAGTTTATAGGCTTATAACTAAGTCGAATGTTCCTATGACGCAGGAAATGTTTGCAGCAGGAACAGAAACGACGACAGCAACTCTAGAGTGGTTGATGTCTGAGCTCGTTAGGAACCCAATATCCATGCGAAAAGCTAAAGAGGTACTACGACAAGTAGTTGGCGGGAAAGGCAAGGCAATTGTTGAGGAAGGCGATCTTCAACAGTTAGAATACCTTCACTCTTCAATCAAAGAGACCCTGAGGTTGTATCCTCCGATTCCCCTTCTATTACCAAGCAAACTAAGGGAAAATACTATGGTAAACGGATCTGAAATAGCCGCAAAATGCCAAGGCATCCTGATTCATGGGAGAGAGCAAATGAGTTCTTGCCTGAGAGGTTTATAAAGAACTCCATTGATTTTATGGGAAAAGACTTTGAGTTCATACCATTTGGAGCAGGGAGAAGGGGGTGTCCAGGAATAAGTTTTGGCATAAAATCAGTTGAAGTTGCAGCGGCCAACCTCCTTCATTGCTTTGATTGGGAACTTCCCTTTGGAAGCCAAGGACTAGACATGGCTGAATCCTCAGGGATTACCATGCATAGAAAATCTCCTCTATTGCTTGTTGCTACACCTCGATGTGCTTGAAAATAAGAGAAAAGCATGTTATGGGCTATTAATTTTAACGTAAAATATAAATATTGATGACATCTGGTGTCATGTAGTTTTAACCTGTTAAAAAGAATCCTCTGTTTTGTAAAATAAAGAAAAACTAGATTGGGTTAATAATTAAGGTAAGAGATTATGTCATCCTTTGAGATATAATTGCTCCATTTGGTCCCAACTAGTTAAAGAGAAATTGAAGAACTCGAGAACTTGGAAAAGTTGTGTTTGCTACTCTTAGGGGGTGTTGGTGGGGAAGTTTTGAGTTGAGAAGCTGGTACTTCTGGCTCCACAAGGAGGCTAGGAAGAGCCGGTTCTATTTTTTCTCGGTTCTGGAACTGCCAAACAAACATGCCCTTAGAGATCAAAGGGAAAAAGATATGGAACTCAAGACGGTTTGCGAAATGAAATTCTGCTCTGAAATTTCATTTGGACCATCCATTTTGAACTCAAATTAGTTTTTTCTCTTTGTTTTTCTCTGAAATTGATATTAGGATGATATAAAATGCTCTGTGAGTTCATGATGGTCGCACAAAGCTCTAAGAAAGTGTATTAACTAAAGGACTAAATGTACAATTCTGTCCTATGGGACCATCATATACAGCTCCATCACTTAATTCCATTGTTATGCTTGAAAGGATAATGCTTGTAATATGCATAGAGATCACAAAAAGGAAAAATAAATGCAGATGGGCATTTTAGAAATTGTAAGCGATGCATTTGACATAGCAAAAGAGATTAATCCTATTAACTCTTGGTTCACAAAGACTAAGACAAACAAATGCAAATGCAATTCAATAGAATATACCTAGGCAATAATTTGCAGTATTTTCTTGGTATAATATGGGTGTAATGGGGCAAAAGCATGCGTGATCAATGATCGTATATATACTAGAGCACATAACTTTGGTGCTTTAATTATTTCTAGTTCACTTCTCTTAGGAATCGGGCTTGGGCTTGAGTGCTAGCACTTAACATTAAGCAACACTATAATCTCAAGTTTGATTCCTAACACTGACCTAACAAATATAAATAAAAAATAAAAAATAGAAAAAGAAAGAAGAAAGAAACAAGGTTCATTTCCTCTTATTGTTTAAATCATACTAGTTGTGTACAATAGAGAAGGGAGCACTAAATGCTATTTTGGGTAGGAAGTTCCCTTGGCTAAAGTCCACCCCAATACTATTCGATCCGCACAGGGCCGCACCCACGAAGAATTAACAGCAAGATCAAATGCAGTATATCTCATCAGCTCATCATCACTGCAAACCAGCAACTTTGGTGCAGCATGGAAGCATGGCTCTACTCCATTGCTCACCTTACAGCTCTCACCCTCCCTCTTGTCTATGAAATTTGCAGCCACCCCACTCAAGGCACTAGCAACATAACCAAAAGTGGAATATATACTTGTAATCAACACATGGCTCATGCTTAGCACCCATATGTCTATGAGAGCCTCTTCTTGGTGAGCAGCATCATGGGCTTCTCGGCCATCCACCGCTTGACGGCTCACCCTGGCCTCCACCCCTGTTTCTTCCTCAATGATCTTCATTGTTTCATTCACCTTCAAAACATGACCTTTCTCTAGGGTGGCCACATGGATGGCTAAGTACTCACCTTCACAAACTCCCTTCCTAAATCTTCTTGGTAGGATGCCACCTCTCTCCCATAAGCAGCGCACGATGTTATCATCGTACTCTGATGTGTACTTCTCAAATTGGAATTCCCTTATTTGGATGCCGATGCGTCGGCTGGCCTGGACATCAGTGTCGTCCCTAATAGAATGCCACATTGGGTCACTTGGAGACAGAAGGTACCTAGACAGGACATGGAATACATTTCTCTCAGGGAAGAGCAAGTCCATCAATGGTGTTAGAACAGGGTTAGCATAGAATCCTGGGACAAGGTACTGGTTGCATTCCCTTATCGTCACAAAGGGAACATTCCTAAGTCTTGAATAGCCCAAGGGGCACATAACAAAGTCATACTCCCTTAGAGGAGTATCATGATCCAGGGAAAGTTTAACAATTGTATTGTTACACCCCCCATTATTGACACTAGACAATGGTGATCCACACTTTGCATCAAGAAACTCGACGTTCCACGCACCGATGCCACGATCAAATGCAGCACCTTGAGGAATGCTGATGGTGGAGCCTAGAAAGGGTTCACAAAAGAGCTCTCTCCACTCTGGATAATCGATGAGAAGGACTCGAGCAGAGAGAATCGAATAGAGGAAGGCAGACATCAATGACATGAGCCTATTTCCCAGGCCATCCCCCGACGCTCCCCATATGACATATTGGCAAAGGGGGCGGCCACCTGAGCTATAGGCATTTGCTAAGGTGGCTAAGTCCTTAGCAACACATCTTTGGTGCATAGAGAAGTACTTTTCGAGGATGGTGGTGAGCTCTTGAGAAGGGGAAGTGGCATAGGGATAGTAAGCGTTATATGCACCATCTTCTTTGAATTTACAACTAGAACTTTGTACAGTGGGAGTTCTTGTTGCAGGGTTTCCTTGGTCATCGATCGCGCCAGCGAATTCACAGAGGAGCTTGTCCGTGGATGTCAAAGTTGAGCAATGGAGGATGCTTTGCTGAGAGAGATCAGAGAGTGAGTCTCTAAACTCAACAGGGGAGGAAGGAGAGAGAAGAGATGAGAGGAGGAGGAGGAGGAGTAGAATCAGGGAAGTCATTTTCTGTTAGTTTTTTAAGGGCCATAAGACATGTTGAAGTAGATGGTGGGATGGCTTTTGAGGTCACAGGGGACAAGGATCCAGAAATGCTCACATTTTCCATAAATATTCACCATGCCTGGGCAGGAAAATTTATATTCAACTGTTATGAGGACCAAACGGGACACTGAAAACAGTGCGAGGTTTGGTCAAAGCGGATGCCTGGATCTCTTCAAAATCAATAAATAAAAATAATAACTTAAAAATATAAACTTATTGCGAAAAAATTGTCCAACTTTGCTTTTGGGAGGACTAACCAGTTTTAAAATGAGCGACTCTGGCCGGGGGCTCGGCCGATGCCTGAGCCAAGTACTCGGCCCGAGTCCAAGTACCTCGGCTTGATTTTGATTTGGGCCGATTACCATAGCTGCAAAAAAGTGTTGCAAAATAAAAAATATAAAAAAATAAAAAACAGAAAAAATATGTTTAAAGTAAAATTAAATAAAACACATCTAAATAAGGTTAAAAAATTAGTGAAAAATGGATTTTGAAAAAATTAATTTGTGATGGGGGTATTTTGGAAATAATTAAAAAAAAAGGAAACTACAACAATAAAATTAATGGGCAAAACACTAGTTAATCTTTGCCAAAATAATAGAAAATATAAAATAATAATAATAATAATAATAAAATTACAAATAAATTTTTTTTTTTTTGGATTTTTAATAAAATTATTTTAAAAACGGTAATTTTCGAAACTTGAAGGGGAATAAGGTAGATAAGGACATCTTCTGAAGTTCACCTTAATTTGAAGTTTCTTGGTGAACTAAAGGCGGAGTGCTTTCGGGGTTATGCCCTAAGTTCAATATTATTTTATACTAAACTAAGTTTGCATGCTCATTAATTCACATTTAAGGTAAATTTGTCCCTAGTACAGTCCTGCCGATTTAATCTTCGAAATCATTAATTTAAACAATCATTGACTTTTAACTTTCATGAATGGGCAAGTTACATCCCAAATTTCTCTTAAAATGACTTATATATTCTACTTTGTGTATTATTTTACAAGAAGATCGATGTGATTTTGTGCACAAAGTCATAAGCACCCCAATCTTTCAAATGTAAAATTGGACGGTTGGGTTGTATCTCCAGCACGTATTATAAAATTGGACGGTTGGGATGTATTTTCAACACATGATCGAGGGAATTTCTTGGAGTGCGAGGGCTACACTCTCAATGGCTGGATTTCAAATCTGATGGCTGTGATTTTTTTTGAAAAAAAATAAACCTTGTTAATGTTCCACAAAAAAGAAATAAATGAATAACATTGTTTACTCTCTTTTAGTAATGAAAAATCTTTACATGCACTAAATCACGTGACTGTTATTCCTAGCAGCCCTGATATGAATGGAGGCTAGGATAACTTTAGTTGTAATGTTGCAAGTTAGCTCGGAGGTTAGGATAACTTTAGATATAATATTGCAAGTTAGCCACAATATGTCAGATCTTGATTGGATGATTTAGAGTATTTTATTTTAAAAATTGTTTTGACGTGAGATTGGGGTCATGTGCACTACCCATAGGGGTGCACCCATAAATTAAGAAAACAACATTTTAAATAGAAAATTACCAATATGCCTCGACAGCTTGTAAATGTATTCTGGTCATTTTATTTTTTGAAAAATAATTTTTCAGATGTTCTCTAAATGGTGGGCACTCCCAAAATTTCATATCAAACTAATTTGAATAAAAAAATTATAAATAAAATAATATTAGACATGGCACTATAACTAAAATTATCTTACTTCCTTGAGTGCCAAGAGAGGAATCAATGTCACCTAGACCTAATGTAACCACATGTTTATGGTGCATAGGGATAATCTCTAACACACTCTCAAAGGTGGCTCGCTTTTTCGATACGATTATCATATGTACATGTCATGTGATGGTTCAGTGATGAGGCTTTGATCATCAGTTTAATTCCATGCTTAGGTAACTTGGGATTTCCATGCCCAGGTAACTTGGGATTTCCAACTCGATTGCCCTAGACGTCAAGCCAAGTCTAAGTATTGTAAGGTCCACAAAGGATGACACTCCCGCTGAGTTTATGTTCCACGATATCAGGATGTTAGTTGTAAGCTCTTATAAGGCCCTTTGTGGCCATAGAAACCCAGGATCTCTCACTTGGTCTTTAAAGGTATTACCATCTCTCTTCCTCACATTTTCATCCCTCAATTACAATCTCTCTTTCAAGTATTTCTTACTTATTCTCTTTCATTACATTAACCCTGGTGAATTGTTTAACTATCAATTCTTTCACAAAGGATCTATGGATGCAACTTCAGAGGGAATCATAAAGCCTATTTCTTTTTGTTGCTTGATCACATCCCGAACATGGTCGTAGTCTATCTTTTCATATCGCATCACGAATCAATGACTCGTTGTCGTTGAAGATCATTACGTACCCTCACCATATGGGGTCGTATCTCAGCAACACAATGGAGTTTTTCAATCCAGCTGTTTTCTTCTAAGACAAAGCAGATAAAGTAATTTGGGAGTTGACCTCCAATGGCCTCTACTAATTTAGAAGATCGAAGGCCACACTATGCCCACGCATTTTATTTTTTTTTGGTTGGTAGTGAGGGATAACGCATATCAATTGAACAATTACATAAAAAACGGGTCAGTTTTTTCAATATATGCCTCCTCTGTAAAAATGATGTTGAAACCAACAATCATCTTTTTTTTGACAACCATGTAATTGGAGTTTGGACCTCTTTAAATGATGTTTAGACCTCTGTTAATAATATCCCAGCTATTTTTGCAGTAGATGTCTCTCCCGTCCTAAATGCCCTTAGGAAGCAGTGAAAGAAAATGATATTGGGGCAGTCTCTCCTGAACTACATGCACGTCTTGGCTCATTGCAAAGGAGGTGTATCGAAAAACCTACTAAGTGGATCCTACAGGAGGAAGGATACGTCAAACTTAATTTTGATGTTAGCTCGGGAGGGGAAGCGAGTCCGACGGGGTTGTGGGGCTGAGAATTTACCCAATTTGAAGCTGAAACTCAAATTCTGGAGTCAATTCGATCCAAATCTAAAATTTAAATTTGAATTACTATTTGGACAAATTTGGATATTGATGGAACCTATCCGGATCCGACCAAGTTATTAAAATAGTATATATTTTTATTTATGCATATAATGTATATAATATTCCTAACTTTTTAAGACCCCATTATGGAATGGATTGTCGAACTAATCGGATCCTGATCTAGATCCTATGTATATTTTTCGAATCAAGATCTAGATCTGAATTGATTAGGGACAGCCTTGAGAATACCATCCTTTCTTGCTAAGAGCAATTGTCCTTGCATAGCCAATGAAATTGAATTGTGGGCTTTAAAGATGGGGCATATCTAAATTAGAAAGTTAGATTGGTGATGGAAGGGGGATTCCTCAAACATAATTGCATGACCCACAAGAGCACCATGGAGATGGAGATTCATTGTGAAAGAGATTCTTCATTGGCTAACTAAGAAGCAATTCCTATTACTGCATGTTAGTAGGGTGAGAAATAGCCTAGGATAGTGCTCTGATCTTTTCCTTATGATCTGATTGTATAGCTTTTGGGGTTTTTCGGTTGGACAATGCCTTCAAAGTGAACCTTCAAGGGCTCACTTTAAACCCGGGTTCAATTTTGTTGTGTTTCCTTTTCTTAGGTTTCTTTTATACCATTATATTTCTACATGCATCGCACTTAAATTCATTAGCATATATTGGGTGTATCTATAAAAATGATTTTAAACGCCTCTCTGCATATACAATAATATACATCCAAAATAAGGGCAAAAAAAAAAATAACACTTCGTAGTCATTGGGTGGCAATGGACCCCATTAAACCCAGGACCTAATGCGTAAACCCGACCTCGTATTTGGATATGGATTCAAATTTTGGATCCAAAAGCTCTAGTCAAAGTCTAAAACATGTCTGGATCTGGGTCCAGCCAGACTTGACCCATTGCCACCCCTATATTAAATGAAGAATTTTTAGTCATAGTTTAGCAGCCTACTCAAGCTTGCCCAAAAATTTCCTAGCAGCCTTCACCACCAAGAATCAACTTACCTAGAACAAAAACAAAATACATAACAAAAATGAAATTTTTTTACTAAAACTCTCCAACTAAAAATTTAGGAAACACTTGCAAAGGAACTTAATGTAGACTTTTACTAGTGGCAATTTCAACAGTTTGAAGGGCAATTCATATGAACTTTTATATGAAACCCTCATTAGATTTAGAAGCTACAATTTTTTAAAGCTCAAAGGATCGTACACAATAAAACCATTCATTTTTAGTACGAAGAGGCCTTTAATTTTGTAATAACGGTCAATACTAATTGTGATCTCTTTGAGCAAAAAAATAAAAGATTCTTTGTATAAAGATAGGTGCGTATAAAGATAGATGCCTTGCCTAGACGTGGTAGTTGGATACTACGGATGTTTTTAGTGAAGGTGACAAGTATGATATGGGAGTCTCTTAAAATAAAAAAAGCCACGGTTTTATGCCTTCTCTTTTTAAGGTTATTTAAATATATTTAGGGAAAATATTAATAAAATGGTCCTCAAAGAATCAAGGAGGTGGCTATATCTAATTTCTCAAAGAGGTGGTTATTGTTTAAAGCACATTTCACTTAGGTACCTCAATCATTTTGCTTGAAATAACAAAACTGCCCCTAGTTTAGTGTTTGGAACCCGGAATATATGTGAACCTCTTGATAATTCGGCAACTTGAGTATCCCCGGCAAAAATCAATTGACAAAAAAAAAGAAAATGGGTGGGCTAGGCTTGCACGAACTCTAGACCGGCCCTCTCAAGCCCTGGCCTTCTTTTTTTAAGACCAGGTCGACAGGGCTTGGTCGGTAAGTCCAGCCCATTACCAGCCTTAGTTTCTTGAACCAAAGGACTTATATACCCTTGCTTCCAAACCTAGAACATGACTTTCTCATTAAGAACTACTTCCC